GATATCGCATATCAAAAAAAAAATTGCTGCTTTTTTAAGTGCCTTATACGTGTTTAACCAAATGCTGACCGGGGTGTTTATACCCCCTTCCTGTCCAGGCCATTTTTCAGTATTCAGCACTTCAGTACTTTGACTGACATTTATTCATTCATGCAACGCTGTACCAATTTTTTACTATTTTAAAAAGGAAAAATTACCAAAAATGTTGAAGAAAAAAAAAAACATTCCCCTACATTATGCTGAAACATTTAGTACTAGCCAATTTTTTTGGTAAAATAAAAAAGATGGGGTCATGTCGGTAAATAGACACCAAACATGTCAAACTTAAAATTGTGCGCGCCCACAAAACCGCAAAAAAATACAATACCCAAAATTGGCCATAGGCGATGATTTAAAAGGTTTTTAATCGCTCATCAGTTGAGTGTTATAAGTGATTGATGGCAATATAATTATTGCTCACACTCCAATGTTCACGGTGATATGCAACACGTGTGGGGCAATTGCAGTTTTTGCATGTAGGTGCACCCAACACATCTTTACAATTGCATATATGTGGGGGGTGAGGCACTTAAAAAAAAAAATGTTTAACTACACTTAACGTTATCACATAGGGGCATAACAAGCCCCCTATGTGATAGCACAGGCACACTGACAGGTCCTCTTTATGGAGACATTAGGGGTCTATAAGACCTAGGGACCCACAAAGTAGCTGATGAAGCACAGATCTGCTTCCTCAGCTTCTTCTCTGGCTACAGCAGGGGGGGGGGGCGCTGAAAGAGGGGCACACACTGTTGGGCACCATACAAGTGATTGGGCTGCTACAGATAGTCCATGGTCCCATCGCACTCCTGACTGCGTAAATCCCTTCAAGAATTGGGTGCTGCGGTAGTCAACGGGTGGCAGCCGTAACAATCGTGAGCTAAAGCAGAGACACCGGCACTCCAAATTTGCAAAATACGTCTATTTATTGGTCAGGTAAAACATACAGTGTAAGTGCATATAAATACAGCTAACATATAGCCCCAACCCTAATCAGAATGGCCAATCATCAACCTCCACATTGACCCCATGACATCATGTTCCCGCCAATTGTGATCGCATGAAAGTGACAGATTATAGAACACACAGAGGCCCGACGCTTGTATGTAACAGCTGCTACTGGCTATGTACAACTGTTAGTGTGTTCTGTCCGTGCGAGTGAGCAAAAAAAAAGGCTGCATATTTACAGCCACCCGCTGGAAGGACCTTGCTGTCCATCCATTTATTTACAATGGGCAGACGGCAAGTATTTGAACATCCTACCTAGCTTTCCCCCCTATAAAATGTTAAGAAGGGATGTGCAAAGTTATGTTTACTACCCTGTCTGTACTGTGCTGGCAGATCATTATCAGTTGTAAACTAGATTTGAGCACTGTCTGTCTTAACAGATGGTTAAAGACTAAGACACATTGCATGTTGATGAGAGGAAGTCGAGTAGGACAATCCAGTCACTTTTGAAACTGCTCAGAGTAGCCTGCAAACTACACAAAGGCCTTCACCAAAGACATATAAAACGGTAAGAAATATATTTAGAGAAAACATTTTTGGGCATTCTCTGTAATTTTTTTGGGTATGCTGCGTGAATAAGAGCATAAAACAAACATACAGTGGGGTTTCTCAAATGTTCTCATTCACAAGGCATACCTAAAAATGTATATTTCTTACCTCCTAGCTGTTTCTTTGGACAGACTACAAGCGGAAAAAGTCGTGAACAAGTCTGTCCCCAAGACAAAGGGTGACAGACTACATTGCCACTCATTAACATCTAATGCTTCTTGATCTTTAACCCTTTGTTAGAACAGTGTTTAAATCTAAGATAAGATCTGCCAGCACAGTACGGGCAGGGTTAATTTTGGTTAGATATAACAAAATTATTGTAATTGTATATTTAACAGACCAATGGGAGCAAATGAGAAGTTCAATGCTAGGGTTTACATATCCTATAAGCTTTAAATGGAACGACAGAGCTGACAGACATCCTTTCCTTGCCGACAACTGAACCAAGTGGCATGGAGCAAAGGAAAGGTGGGAGGGTGGCACAGACCCTGTGAACAAAGCACAAGTTCATTTTAAAGAGCCTGGAATGAGCTTACCCCATGCTGAAAAAAGGTGTTAAAATCATTTAGGAAAATGACCACCCGGGAGAGGTGTTTGTTTTCCAAATCAAGAGAGCCTTTAAATTACCATGCATTATGGTATATGGTAAGTTATGGTATGAGCATGTCCATCCAGTGATGTACTGTTAGCATTTTAACCCTTACATCTGTTTACAAGGTATGGGTACTGACAATGTAGAGATTGGTGCAAGTAATTGTTTGTGGTAAGATAACAACATTATCATTGCTATTGATCTCACAATGGGAAGTTGCTTTAGGGTAAAAGAGATCTTCAGTCATATGTGTATTTGAGTTTACTTTGCATTAAAAGGATTTTGTATCACTGCTTGCCCAATAGCTCCTTTATTTTTCTTTAGAATTGTTTTTATTTATATTTGGGCGCATCTGCTGGTTCTTCTATGCAATTGTTTTACAATTATTAACCACTTGCCGTCCGGAGCAATTTCTTACATTTGCACACACATGATAAAATCAGATTTTTTGGCTAGAAAACAGCTTCAGACCCCCAAACAATTCTATATTTTCTGAAAACAGAGGCGCTGTAGAATAAAAATTTAGTGCACAGAAACAGACTACCCAATCTTTTGGTAAAATATAAAAAATGGGGTCACGCCAGGTAAATGGATACCAAACATGTCAAGCCTTAAAATTGCGTGCGTCCCTGAAACCACAAAAAAAAATTCAATAACCAAAATTTCCCATAGACGATGCTTTCAACGCTTTTGCGGCACATCAGTTTAGTGTTAACAGTGAATGATGGGCCTAGAATTATTGATCTCATTCCAACGATATGCAACATGTGTGGCGCAATTTTAGTTTTTGCACGTAGGCACATCCTACGCGTGTTTGCGTTAATGGCTGTGTGTTGAGTTATTTACAGAGGACAGCAAATGTACACTCACTACTTTACATTGTAGCAAAGTATGATTTCTTCAGTGTCGTCACATGAAATGATATAATAAAATATTTACAAAAATGTGAGAGGTGTACTCACTTCTGTGAGATATATCTATCTATAGATATATATATATATATATCTCTATCTATTTTGGGGTTAGATACTCCAATTAAATTTCATATTTTTAAGGGTTTATTGGACATCTATGTATAAGAGGCAAATAAAGCCAGAAGACCCCAATGACATCAGTGGCCAAAACTGACACAATACGGGTTTCTGGTTAGCAGAATTACACCTGAATTCTACCGTAATTGAAAAACATCCCCAAAAAATTATCTGCAAGAAAGTATTTACAAGAGACCAACACAATACAAACATATTAGACAGTTATAAACCTGTGGAACCACAGCCAATAGCAGAGATTGGAAGAAAAAAAAAGTAATACTTTTTACTCACAGTAAGAAAATACTGTGAAGCAGTGAAATTGTGGAACTCCATTCCCCAGGTCATGGTATCAGCTGAGAGTCTAGATGCATTAAAAACACTTTAGATGTATTCCTCAGTGAAAATATACAGGGGTATGGGTCTCATACATACATACTTACAACTTGATGACCATGTGTCTATTTAACTTTAAATATGTAACGCTATAAAATTAAGATCAAATTAAATTATATTGAACACTAATGGGTCTATTTATAAATGCTTTCTACGTAACTAACTCTGGATTCACAACTTAATCCAATTTAAAAAAATGTGTGAATTCTGATTGAAAAAAATGTATAGATACATTCTGGAGGCTTCCTAAAACAAAACTTGATTACAATGTCATTAGCTATGGCTACAATTGTTACAGCATTCTGAAAGTAGGGGCATAAGAGATGGGGAAATATTTACAAAACTAAGCAGGAGTATTATGTCTATTCAGCAACAATTTATTGAGAAACTGTTCATATACAAATTCTGCACCCACAATAAAAGGCTATTTGGATATATGCATGTGTTATTATTTAGTAAAACAAACAAAAAATGCTTTATTAAACTTTCAATCAAAATTTTAGGAAACTTTAAAAAATGTGCTAATTGGCTAATAAAAGAGCCAATGTCAACGTAAACTAAGGTTTGTCACGAAGGTGATCGAAGGCATCTGCGCTGTCACTTTATTACATTTATTTTGGACAGCAATTTAAAAAAAATGTAGTCAAGTAAAATGTAAGGTGTAGCACATTCATCGATTTCCTTTAACTCCTGAACCAGCTAGTGGAATTTAGGCAGCATCTCACATTTTCCAGGCTCCGAGTTTGCTTTTTTGATTAAAGTTGTTTACACGCTTATCAACAGTAAATCTTCCCTATGACTATCTACCAGTGATTCCTACCATATACTAGAAGAAGCTTGGAAAACAAAAGTTCCACTCCACAAGTAAAAGTCCTGTGGATTGGCGCTTTTGTCTTCCAAGATCCTTCTACAGTTTCAAAGTGACCATCTTCGAAGAGTGGCACTAAAAAGCTACCTACTAGACCATGCACCTTCAATTACAAACTAGACATGAAGTAGTCTAGAGCTCCACACTTTCCCCATCTTTACATACCTGAATGTTCAGTCTGACGTTTTATTAAGACAAATCTGTACCTTAAAGCCAGCAGCTCTGCTGTGCTATCTCTTTGGATAACATATTAAGACGCTTTGCTTCTAGCTAACCCTTTGGAACCCCAAATGAATAAAAAAAAAATCAAATATTATTGGTAATCTTCACAATTCATTTTTCTGCTTAGCACAGGAAACAAAACAGATGCAGCACATTTTTTTAATGAAATAACAGTGTCCAAAGTCAGTCTTGTGTCACCCTTATCACAGCACTAATTTATATGATTTTAAATACAGCTGGGAAATGTCCATATGCTACTATTTTAGATGGTTTAAAATGCAGCTAGTATGTAACTCACCTTCCCAACAGCAAGTCGATTCCCATTAAAAACAACAGTGTCCTCATTTAGTGGTGGAATGTCATGTAATGATTCAACAATCACTGAGGGGAGAAACACACAAGCAGTCAAGTAAAAGCATGCTAAATGCAAGTTTAGAAAATTAATTTTTTTAAGTAACTGATTTTTTTGTAAACAAAACAGACTGCAAAAACTTTCCACCTCCATAAAACTCCACCAACCCCATTTTTAAACAATCCAAATTTGGAGACTGTCTTAAAGGTTCATATTATTTAAAGTAAGAGTGCACTAATGTATTCAAATGAGCTTCTGAGGATAAAAGGTTAGTAATAGAAACATCCATAATACGATTTTAAGAAACGTGCCAACTACAACTATTTAGTGAGTCATAGCGAAAGAACAAGTTGCTCTCTTTGATATCACTGGGTCAACATGGCTGGTATGGCAATTGGAAATAAAGGCTTATGTTGTTGCTGACTCTTTACATCATAACAAGTCCTCCTGAAACAAAGATACCGAGATTGTGGGTGGGGCTAAAAGATGCAGTCTACATACATTTTGCTTTTCTTGACCTCTATTGTGCCATGTAGGAGGACGGGCACATAACTAGCAGAGGGAATGGCTATGTGCTTATTTATAAAAGTTGTGTTTTATAATAAACAGTTATATTTGGTAGCATGTGTCTTTATAAAGCACTGGTTGATGCTAAACATATGTTGACTTCAGGCTCCTACCCATCTCACCCTCTGATATAAGTACACAGTTTATAGTGTGGTTTATATGGACCTTTTTGATTCTTTGCAGTGAGTATTCCAAAACCACCAGAGTAAGTTGTGTTCTATGTAGGCAAGAACTGTTTTAGTGCATCTAGAACACCCTTCAATAAGTTCCTATGACCTCGGCTGTGTAAAGTGTGTGCTACATTTCTGTATAATAATGAGTACATGGGAAATTATCTCTATAGAACCAGCATGCAGCCCTGGAATGGAGCTACACTATGAGGCTTATCACAGAGAAGACCTGCTTTGCGATATTATGTACCATAAATGACTGTCCATTTTATTTTGCCACCAATTAGATTTAACCCTCATAGTAAAATGAAAGCTTGAAAATCTTACTATTGGGTTTGGGGCAATACAGCTTACTCTTATCTGAAAATAGTGGTATTATAACTCGCCTTCAGACATTCAGTCTCTGCAAGAACTAGCCTTTCACTCAACTGTGCTAATCACAATTTACAGGACTTTCTCCCCAGCATTTGCAACCACCAAATAAAACTACAGGACTGATCTAATGGCATGTAAAAGTACACATAATTAGGGCAAGCAATAAACATGAATAAAAGCATCCAAATGAAGCAATACACAAGTACTGCAGACTGTTCAGCACAAAATGAATGAACAATTAGAGCAAAAGGTAAGAGATGTACACTGTGCTAAAGATTGGGCAGTGCTGAGCCATCCCTGTGGTCTGTAATTACTGCTTGCAGTTCAGAACTATAAAGTACAGGTACATTTAGAAGCTTTTTTTATATTATGGCTTGCTTAGAAATGACGCTGTGTCCAGCCATTGTTTAAAGAAACAATTAAAGGGGAAAAGTATGATGAAAAAATTGGAAGGGAGTCTGTCAGCTAGTGTTTACATGCTCCATCAAACAACATGTGCTAAAAGCTAGATCTGATATCTGAACTATGATACCGTAGGTTCATTTAAATGGAATTTACCATGAGAGCACTGTTGCTAAGAAACAATTTTGAGGTTGGAAGAGATCTTTAACCACATACATCTCATAAAAACATAATAAATCAAGTAATACATTAGATTTTACATACAATTATGGACTGCATTGGAGGGATGTGGTGGGCAGTCTTCAAAGCTGAGATTATATGCTGTTATTTGAGTAATGCAGACACCTGCATTTAAAATGGTTTGTTAACTGGGGCACCTCACACGTGGGATAAAGACCTTACAAATAAGGGCATTTTAGGGCCACCCAGAGTTCTTTTTGGTGGCTAATCCATACCTATCTACATAAAATATAGATAAGCAAGCGTATTCAAATGTAAATCATATCAGATTACTTTAAAGGTGACTATATACACTACACAAACTTATGTAAAAGTCTTAGTACAATGTACTTTACATTTACCAAAAGTATGTAATATAAAAGGATACTTCTAAACTATCCATTCAATTTGTTACAAATCAGGCAGGCTCTTGTACTACATAGCTGAGAGCAAATTTAGGAGATTAACAATGCAGTAATAACTGAAAATATGATTAATTACCTATTTCCCCCCCTTGGAGTCAACATGGCCTACCGGCTTTATTTAGTTAAACACAGGAGCATTAAAAGGAGAACTATAAGGTGAGTGAAAATCACTCATCCTCATAGTTTGAGCCGACGTGTGACAATGAAACTGTCACATGTCGGCTCAATAGATCGGGAAGTGAGCGAACACATACCGTCGCTCACTTCTCAATCATCTCCCTGCAAAGAGCCGTGACTTAGTCACAGGTCCCTGCAGGGATCCCCGCCCCCCCTCTGATCTGTCAGCGCTGGAGTAATGGACGGGGGAGGGGCGGGTACAGCTGGGCCCGGCCTCTAAATAGGCAGAGGCAGCTGTGACTCACGCAGCTGGGTGGATCTCGACAGAAATGTCTGGATCCGTCCTGGCTGCGGCGGTCTCAGTATACCACGAGCTGTAGCTCGCGATATACTGAGCTTTGGGTCACGGGAGGACGATAGTATATGTCCTCCCGTGAACCTTAAGAGAACTATGGGGAAAAACACTTACTCCATAGTTCTCTTTTAAGCCATAACGTGCTAGTATGCACAGCATATTAGTACATTATGGAAGACTTCTCTCCCAAACAGATCCCCTGCAACATCATGATCCTCCCTCTCTGGAAATTCCATCTTCGGCTTGTCCATTTCCAGGTTTCCAGTCATCAGCCACTTGATTGGCTGGGCCCCGATGATGTAACTCCAGTGCATGCCAGGTCTTTGCACTAAATAAGCATGGCTTAATACCGTGGCTTAGTTGTAATTGCCAGCCCAGTCTGCCCCAGTAGAACTGCTCCCAGGTCAAAATGAGCATGAATATAAAAGCAATAAACAAAAACGCTCCATATTTGGTTTGTTCAACAAGATAACATCATAATACCTAGCTGATCAATGATGCTGGAAACCTTTCCAAATGGTTTTATTTCAACATCATCTGGTAGGTTTATGGCCAGTTCTTCAACTGCAGGCAACTCCTGGAGAAGAAAAAAAAAATAGTAAAAATTGTAGCAACCACAAAAAGCTACCATACTTGGCACAGCAAAAGAAAAAACTAAACAAAAAGCAATTAACCAGCCCAATACCAAAGAGATTAAATCACCTTTATTCATACAGTTGGCCATTGACAGATGTAAGCTCCACAGTACATTTCTAGTGCATATTGAAAATCTTCTAATAATGAACTTTTGGCAGACGTAATAAAAGGTCAAATCTTATTTGCAGCGTGGATAAGAACTTAAGTCTGAAGGATTTAGCAGTTCAACGACTGCTCCAATATTAGAAAAGGTCATTAGAATCTCTAGTGCAATTACTTTCTGGAAGGTCTCAACAATACCATTAAAAAAGTATTCTTAAGTCACTATTGTTTTATATAAAAAGACTATCATTTAATTTATTTGAGTACATACATATTTTATAGTCATTATTGTCAAGTTATATTTTTAAAGCAATTTTCACCTTTTGCCAGGTGCTGTACCAAATTTTCTTGACTTTATTAATTGAATGCAAATAGGTTTTTTTTTTTTACCCCTTAGCTTAGTGAATGTGGTGAAATTTCCCTTTGCAAACAGCCAATCACACGTAAGGGGAAATTTTATAGATAGATAGATAGAGAGAGATCTATCTATCGATAGAGATCTATATATCCATCTATCCATCTATCTATCTATCTATCTATCTATATATATATATTATATAAAACTGGTGAGGAGCCCATTGGGGTGAACTCTCTTGTAGTGAATATCCAATCACGTGCAAGGGAAAAAAAGGCAAAAAGGCAGTATTTTTGCTAGTACATAATTGGATGATTGAAATCTGAAGAATTTCCCTTGCAAAGTGAAAAGCCTATTTGCGCCTTTAGTAAATCAAACCCTCTGTGTGCACATGCTTTTCTCTATGCATAGTGCAAAGCTTTTCAATAGAAACATATACTTTGCACTGTGCTATGTAAAACAGCCCGTTTGCCAATCAAAATCTGACAAAAGCTGAATGGCAATTACATGGTGAACTACCTGGAGAATGTGTTATGTTCAATGAATGATTTATTTAGTCAACTAAAAGACAAAGAAAAAATAAAATCACTGTGATTCTTAACTAGGTAAAGGCTTGTTCACACCATAACTTGTGCAAGGCAATGGTTGTCAACTCACCACAATGCAGGAAGCACAGGTTCACAGAACTATTTTTACCATCGCATTGCAGAGAGCATTCATATAAATATGGATTCAAAAAGTATATAGCCAAATCCAGAGACAAATATAACAATAAATAGAGTTATCTTCCCTATAAATCATTACAGGCAGGCAACCACACAAATTAAATGAAATGTGAACCGAAGATCAGTGGATATGGGTACTACCAATGACATGGACTCCAATTAAGAAAATATAACATTTTATTGCATATAAATATATAGAAAAGTAAAGGATAATACACATATAATTGTTATACAAGCCATTTTAGTGCCTGTGTTCCAGTCCAGTGCGATCCGCAAAAATTCTGCGAGCACTATTTTTGCAGATCGCACTGGACCGGAATGCAGGCACTAATGTGCCTGCGTTACGAATGCGGGCGATGCCATTGACTTCAATACAGCTCCACACCCCCTCCCGCACCTGAACGCAGGGAGTCGGCCGGCTTACATTCCAGTGCGCCCTATCCTCCCGTGGTGCTTGTGTGGCTGACGTTGCACATGGGGTGTCCTGCACCTTTCCATCTGCAGTGTCTGACACATTCAGCCGGCAGCCGCACGAGCACCACGGGAGCATAGCCGTAGCCAGCTCCTTTTGCGCCTGAGGCAAGAAAAAAAACACGTTTTTTTAATTTTTTACTATTTATTTTTATTTTCATTATTTATTTTTATTTTTTTTACTCTTGGGGGGGCTTTGGGTAAATATTAGGGGTCTAAAAAGCCCCTTGATATTTCCCTTTTAAAATAGAAAAAGAAATTGAGGACACAAAGTCCACAATCTCTTTTTCTGCAGCCTCTATTCTAAATGAATGGAAAGCACAGAGGCTTCCCATTCATTCAGAAAATATTTTACTATCAAGCAGTTTCTGAATGGGGAGGAGCCTCTGTACAGAGTGCTTCTCCCCATTGAGAAACTCATGAATGAACAGGACGTGATGTAAATCACATCCTGTTCATTCATTTATAACTGGGGACACATAGTACTATGTGTCCCCAGTTATTTACAAACGCTGGAGTGATCAGTCGATCGCTCCAGTGTTTGTCCTGCACAGAGGATTGGTACATATTAATGACATGTACCGATCCTCTGCCGCTCGTCCACGCACAAGGTGGCTCAGCTTCTCCTCTGGATCCCCCTGCTCTCCCGGGCAGAGGCAGCGGGGGATCCGAAGAGAAGTAAAAGAGCACTTCAGCCGCGGGGGGGGGGCGGAGCCGCTGTGACAGAACAGACGAGCAGTGAGGGGAGAGAGAGGCGCCGGCTGTCAGATCCTGGCCGAGCGTCTCTCTCTCTCCTCACTGCTCTGCATTAGTTAGTGACAGCGGCTCTGTCCTCCGCCCTCCCCCGCCGCCGGTTCCTTCACTTCTTCTTGGATCCCCGCTGGGGAGAGCAGCGGGGATCCAGAGAAGCGGCGGGAGGAGAGGACAGTGCGATCTACCAGTGATCGCTACGCCATCGACTGGTAGATCGCGATCGACCTTGTGGGCACCCCTGCTTTAGATCTTTAAAAAAAAAAAGACAAAACAATGCAATATGTTAACAGGAGGCGTTGTCCTATTGCAAGGCATCCCTTGCAATAGGAATTTAATTTTCGTTGAGATATTCCCTAAGGGAAAATTACTACTAAAGGGAAGCTGACATTGCACTTTTCCGAATTATAACACAGAATGCCCACCACCTGATTATAATGAACCCAGGCCCTCCCATTCGGGAATCAGTTTGGAAAGGAAATGCTGCAACAAACAGCTTTCTCTTCAGGACCCATTTACACCACATCATCTCCAGACCAGACCAGATTGTTTCCGGTCCCAAAATGTATCCTAATATATCCCTATGTTATTTCTGGCCTCTGTTCACACCAGCACAGTCCGTTCCAGACCAGACCAGAAAACTACTGCATGTCTCATTTTGCCTGGTTGTGAATGCAATGGTACTGCGGGCAGGTTCACACCATTTGCTGGTCCAGATCTGGTCTGGAAAATGGTGTGAACCTGCCCTCAGAACAGAAACAGGTAGGAAACTGCAACAAAAGTTGGTTAAAACGCTTGCAATGCACATTGATCACCCAAGGGGAACAGATTTTTTTTCCTCAACAAAAGTGGAATTACTCCAATAGAAAACGCACACATCCCTGCTGCATAAAATACAGGACAACATTGTCCAACCATTTTCACACCCCCTGTACTCCTCACAGCTTCTGGCTGTCTGAAATAGCTGTCTAATAAACTGTTGCAATGAGCAGTTACAGGAAGTTGCGGTCACCAGAAAATAAAATCTTCCCCAATTCAAATAAAACCAGTTGTAAACAGTCATATCATGATAAAGTGCACCAGTGTATATACAGATGGTATCCACTTCATTAATTTGCATATACAATGCCTAAAGCTTGGCTAAATGCAAATGCTGGGCACAGGTGATATTCAGCACTCCAATGATTGAATATATCGCAAAACAAGGCATACAGTTTTAGCAAGTGGTAATGAACAAAAGCCTCAGACAAGGCATGAAGTAATAAAATTGCACTGATCCATAAATAGTTGCCTCTTCCATATACCTAAAGGCATTGCATAACCAAATTGATGAAGTGGATGCTTGCCCATTGGATACCATATCTATATACGCTGAACCAAGTTTATCATCATAGGACTGTTTACAACTTTTTTTAGTTGAATAGGTGAAGATTCATATATTCTTTGCTGGTGACGGCAACTTCATATAATTGCTCACCGCCCACTACAGTTATCAGCTATTTTGGACAGCCAGAAACAGTGAGGGGTATAGAGGGTATGTGTCAATGGTTGGTCAGCAAGGTCCTGAATTTTATGGGGAGGAACAGAGCGTGCTTTTACTATTCATTTTCTATACATTGTTTGTATTTAGTCTCAGAGTTGCCCATATCCACTGTTCTTTATGTGCCTATGGTACTGCAGACAGCATTCATATCTCTGTGCTACAGTGCATTGTGTATGTTTTTTGGTGTGCAATCAGGTATAACAATTAAGGCCCCGTTCACATGTAGCGACGTATCACGCGATATTGCGAAAAGTCGCCGGCCAATGCTATTCAATGGAGCTGTCTTAACTCCATGTCGCGCGCTGCGGTCGCTTCTAACGGACCCTTTTTTCGGCGGATTTTGCTTTTTTTCTATGGAGCCCGACGGAGAAGGTCGCGCTACCATCGCTGGAACGTCGCCCCGAAAGTCACGCTATCCCGGCCGCTGCAAAGGTATGTGAACGGGGTCTTATATGTTAAAAGGTTGATAAGGAGGAAAGGGCGACTACATATAAAAAGGTATATTTAAAGATAATCATCCTTAGACCCCGTTCACATGTAGCGACATACCTTTGCAGCGGCCGGGATAGCGTGACTTTCGGGGCGACGTTCCAGCGATGGTAGCGCGACCTTCTCCGTCGGGCTCCATAGAAAAAAAGCAAAATCCGCCGAAAAAAGGGTCCGGTAGAAGCGACTTGCGACGAGCGACATGGAGTTAAGACAGCTCCATTGAATAGCATTGGCCGGCGACTTCTCGCGAAATCGCGAGATACGTCACTACATGTGAACGGGGCCTTAGACTGCACGTGTTGTGCAGGGACATTCAGCTGCTTAACGCTATCCTATCACTATACAAAATTGTTTAAACAAAGGCACACCTTTCAAAGGATACATACTCACCTTTCCTGCATCTCAATCCAAACTCTGATGCTTCTGTTAATGACAATCTCCTGGTTTCCTTGTTGATGTCACTGGTTCCTCCTTCGTACATCCACACTAAAGGTGCCCATACACCT